ATACTGCCACACCCGAAAATAAGAAGTGCTAATCCGCACCAAAGATTAAAGAATGTGATTCTAAATTTAAGATACCTAACTAATTAAATTTTGGTTTTCTTAAGAAAAGCTATGTAATTTTTGTTCACTATAATTAAAGTATTTTATTTTTGTTTATTAGAAGTTAAATCTTTATTTTTGTGTTTAATTTCATTGCTAATAAATGAATTTTGATTTATATGTGTCGTTTTAATCGCACGTACGGAACTACCCCACAGCGTACGAAGGTACCCTCAACACTGTACGAAGGTGCCCCGTTGATGGGGTAGATTCGTACGTTTTCCAGATTTAGTTTAAATCATAATTATGGTTGAACCATCAGATGAAATCATTTGTCATTTTCTTATATGAATCTCAGATAGTTAGACTATAAATTTAAGCTTGCAGATGATTGATTCATGGAAAAATAAAATAATAAAAAAATAAAATGTGAAAACCGTACGAAGGGTCCCGACCTTCCCCTATATCCTTTATTAATCAATTAAACTAAATAAGACCCACAACCAAATACCAAAAAGGAAGATTTAATACAGGAACAACGAGAATGTTAAACTGATATTAACTTTGTATTTAAGTACAAACACAAAAAGTCTCTATAAAAATAAAAATGAATCGCGATATATGTTGCTAAGCGCAGCCCTGCGATTCTGTAACTCACTTTTCGAACGCACACAGCGGTTTTCGCATCGGCGGTCGCTCTCAAATCAGTCGTGAAGCAGTCATTTTATGATTTGGCATTCTGAAAAGGTGGGAGCTTGTAGTTTAATGTTTATCAGAATGCCAAATCATAAAATGACTGCTTCACGACTGATTTGAGAGCGACCGCCGATGCGAAAACCGCTGTGTGAGTTCGAAAAGTGAGTTACAGAATCGCAGGGCAGAACTCGAAGACGGCTAGACCAATTCGAGTATTTTTATTTATTAATAGCATAAACTCCGAGGAAGGTTTTTATGGAGAGAAAATTGGTAAAAATAAGTTTTATCTAAATTAAACTTTTTTCAGATAAACTACTTAGGTTTTTAATCCATAAAAAGGGAACAGTCTCTATGGGGTAGCATAGCAAAATGTTCCAAATGTTTGTTAGAACTAATATTATATCCACATACACATTCAAGCTGCTAAAAAGGCAGGCTAAGTAAAAAACATATCACGGCGAAAAGAAGTTCGCGGGGGCAGCTAGTAATAAAATAAAAATGAGCAAATATCGAAACAACTACTACGACTGTAGACGCACCCAGCGATACAAAGCAAAGCATAACGTGTATGTAACGTGGCGATTGGACGTGTCAAATTACGCATTACCCTCCACAAAATGGAAAAATTACATTTTATGAATATCAGTAATTCTGTATATTATCTCTCTTTTCTTTTACATATGCACGTTCTCGTAAATGCCGTCTCTTTGTTGTACAAAGTTATCATACCTACCTACCTAATAATATAATTTAGGTATAGATAAAAAATTAAAGTTTTAATATTTTCCCATAATAAATATAATAAATGGTGTCGACGAATATTTCTGTTTTGGTTTCGATAAGTTTTTAATCCAACCGAACTGAAAATTATTTACGATTCGGAAACTACAATTGAACTGCGGAGTACCGAACAAACGGCCAACTTTTTGTTGAAGTAAAATCAAAATATGTTTTCCCACAATGATGAATCGAAAGCACCGACACGATTATAGGTTTTTTGGGAAACAATGGCCAATAAATCTACGCGTTATCTAGTCGAAATATTTCATGAGAACACGGCCGTTGTGTTTATTAGCACGTCGCTGAGCGAGCACTATATGTCACTTTGTTTCGTTTTATGCTCACTAAAATCAATTTAGTGCTCAATTGCGAATGGTCATGCGTACGGCGTACATCATTGTAATAGCTAATGTCTTGTACCAGCCTGTGCTGAACTTTGTTATTACTGTTGGCTACGATCTTATAACTAAGATCGGTCATTATTTGCTCCTGTTCTTGACTGCGTGTAGGCTAAATAATCATCGCTATCCTTGTATTCTTTTATATCTGTACCGAAAATTATAAGAATAGGAGTTGGGTAAGTGTCGCCATACTTACACCTTACACTACTTATCATGATAATTATTATTTTAATTGGGTGATTGAACTTATACAGTAATGTGCATGTGTAACGTGTAGCTGTGTAATGATGCAGCTTCCCTTACTTGAACAGATTTAATATAGATAGTAACAATTAACGTGAAAATTTCGCTTTGCATAGTGTTGATGGTTATAACTTATAACTAAATTTAATAATGCACTAGCAATATTTATGATTTAACCCGCGCGTGTTCCTTTACCCGCTTTAGTGACGACAACAGTCACCGCCGTTTATTCTATATGGGTATGAGTGGGTCCTCACTTCCTCACCTCAAAAAATGGTAAATATAACTAGTGCCGGATTAACTACGTAGCAAAGGCAGCGATTGCTATTGGCCCCACGCCAATGTTTTGGGTTTGTCAGAGCCCAACAGGGCCTTTACTTTATTACCAATAGGTAATATAGTATATTATAAATATATTAACACCTAACAGCGCAAATAAACTCATATAGGTATCATGTCCAAAAAAATCATAAAAGAGCCTTTTAGTTTACACATACTACGCGGTTGGAATTGAAATTTCATTCAATCTTTCTTTTCAATTGAATAATTACGTTTTATATATTGTTACTTCTTTCATTTCATTTATAATACTTAATAAGTTGGTACTGTGTGTTGTTTTAGTTTTGGTGCAAATAACAAATCTACCAGTTTAAAGAAACAATGTTTTCATTGAATCACAAACAGCGAAATAAATCAATACAATCCGCTGAACAACTCAACTGTAATGAAAAAGCTGCAATCCTTTCAATTCGCTGCTAAATTCATCTGCAATACATTTTGACATCAATTCAAAGGGAACTCCGTAACCGATATCCTTAAATACGATTCACTGTTCACTTCTAGTTTATTTCTTTTGAGTTTCGTCACTTTTATTCCGCACTTTAGCTTCCACCTCAGCACAGCCACTCTCGTCTTTCTGCATCTGAATTTTGAGAATATCTTTTACTCAATTCAAGCCCTCAGTGCTAAAGAATAAAGTTAAGTTTCGCTCGCGGTGGGTTGTATCTGCAATGTTTTTACTTTTCATTGCAACGACGAGAGAATATGATGCAGAAATGTAAAATGTAAGGACAATTGAACGGAGGCAAGCGCAAATGTGAAACGAGTATTCTTTGTTGGCGTTTCAAATGATATTTTTTGCGACAGCTCTTTTGGTTTCGCAGCCGAGATTGAGCTTTATAAGGTCAAGTTGCTAGCGTTTTCAACTCTTAACTTGTGCCATCTATTAACTATCTCTACAGTGGCATTTATTTCTGTTTCTGATTTCTTCTTATGTCTGTTTAATGTGACTTTTAAAAATTCATTAAAAATAGATAAAAATGTTTTTACAATAAAAGTTAACCTATTATTTTGGTTCCCAATTTACCGTTTGAATATATGTCAAATACATACTAATATATTCTCAATAAGTCGTTGTCCGTTGAGCGGGACAATGTGTCAGGGCCTACTGTTGCCGAGGGAGACTATCGGGCACGCGCGACGCACGAGACTTGAGATTTACGAGTCCGGGGGGAAGACTTGCTCTACATACTAGCGCTCTGATTTAAGACTTAAATGTACTTGGACAATTTTAAAACGTTCCTTCGTGGTCTTATAGAATTTAGAATGAACCGTGAGTTTTTAAGGCGTACCTTTTGGACTGCGTCGCGGATACTGCGCTAAGTATAAGCTAGATCGATGATTTTGCGGCAACTGGGTTAAACAGCACGCACTGAATATTCGGTGTGGACGCTAAGCCGGGATCCAATATAGCGCCAAACAAAGGTTTACAAGAGTTTAGACCACGCCTACAGCTGCATATTCAACGCTCAAGTCAACACAATAGCGCGGGAGCTGACCGCGAAGTCAGCTTCATCTTTGAACCGTATGTAAATTAAGTGGAAATACTTACTGAGTATCACTATCTAAATTGCTTTATAAACTAAGTTTAGTGAGGGTCTTAAGTTATTAGAAAGGCTCGAGGTCCTTTCACCTGATTTGACTTACATCGAGTTGATTTCAAAATACTAGTATTGTCTTTGATTAACATAACTTTTATTCATTATAATATTTAATAAAACACTATTTTGACCGGATTGAAGTTATGTATTATTATAAATTTACAACTATTTAACATAATTTTAAATTTATCCGACGTTTCGCGTGCTTTACACCGTGCGTGGTCACGGTGACCGTGGTAGTAATAGTTGTAAATTTATAATAATACATAACTTCAATCCGGTCAAAATAGTGTTTTATTAAATTCAAAATACTATCCAAAGAGGTAAACCAAACTAACACGGAACAAATTTCCGTGAAAGTTTAATGCACGGAACAGGTTGTGAGCTTACCGCGATCTACTAACTACTTGAAAGGAAAAATGGAGCACATTCATGTCCTAATAAAGTGGTTTTAAATTTGTTTTTTAATGAACATGACGCTCTTCGGCTATAGCACGGTGAACGCATCAGTGATCGTTGACCAATATGCGACGCTCGATCGCCGCCGCGCTTTGAATTTTCATTCAATCTTCGGAACTTTCATTAATATTCCGCTACGTCCTAGTTAATGTAAAATAGAAGCAATATTTATTCGCCGCTCATATTGAACCGTAGCCTGTTTGTTTATAAATGAATTGTCTACACAATACATCAGGATTGACTTTTTGTTATGTTGCATTGGTTTTTTATTGAAATGTCTATCTATGACCCACACCTTAATATGACAATGAATATAACAGATTATGTGTTTTATGAATTGACTAAAAATGATAACACGAGTACTTCACTTTAAAAATTATATTAACGGAATGAAAACGGTGTTTATAAATATTTCTGTTTTATAAAATTGTATCGGTCAGAACTAAACATATATCTGTATCTGATAGTCGAGTCCATCTCCTCTTTCACTCTTCAAGCGCAGAGTGACGTATGTAAAGTTAATGCCTCCAGCCATGATGCTCACCTTAGTCTTTGACTTTTTAAGGTCTATGGCTGATATTCCCTGAAAATAGTTCACATTAATTTTAATATTCAAATAATTCACTAATTCGCAAACATGTAAACATTTTTAATTTATTTAAAACTCAAACTATGTCAGTATTTCATTATCTTTGAACTCACCTTAATTAATTGTTGTCCATTATACGACACAGTTTTGGTCCTCACTTTAAAAGGAATAGCGGACAAAGATACCTTTTCCATATGAACCAGTTGACCATTTATGTTGCTCCCCACTGTTAAGTTATCTGCCCTACAAAAACTTATAACGGCACAGGTCAACAGGACTAATAATACTGGTCTTATGTACATCTTACCGAATAAGATTTCACTATATGGTACCGATACTTATATTACTTGAAATGATTTATCTCAAATTCTTTTATTCATCTACCTTTTATAAGAATTCATATTATCTATTTGCACAGATAAATTTATTGGAACTGGGTATCATAATGACAATATAAGATAAAACTTATCAATATTTTAAAGAAAACAATCTTAAGGTTCATTCATCTACCATTTATAAGAATTCATATCTATTTACGCAGATAAATTTATTGGAACTGGGTATGATAATGATAATATAAGATTAAACTTATCAATATTTTTAAGTTTTTCTTAAAAATATTGATAAGTTTAATCTTTTTTATATAAGTTTATTTTTTTCTTGAAAATATTTTTTTTTCTTAAAAGTCTTAACGGATATAAAGGAGTCACCGACAAAAACAACATTTCAAATACATCTGAATAATAAAATCAAATCTGTCATCATGGTGTGGAAAGTCTTTCCCTGACCACGATTGCATAAGAAAAGCAAAAGTATAATTTAAATATTCACTGTAGTAATTAACATGATTCTCTTTTCGTGAATCAGAATCATAAACAATGCATGAAACTGAAATCCAGTTCTGAACATTTTTACGCAGCCCAAACTCACATTTTCCGAAAATATATAAGAAAATAATTTCATTAAAGAACATAAAAAGTGAAAAATGAGGAAAAGCCTCATATTAAAGTGAGGGCACATTAGTAGCAGATGTCGGGGTGAAAAGTGAAGGAATTCACGAACTCCTAACATTAAATGAAATAGATTGACTTTCATTTGTCATCAGTTCAGGTCGCGAGCAACTTCCGAGTTGGTTCATGTAACGAAATCTACTTTCACAAGATTTGTCGTATACGAATTATGACCCAATTAACCAACAGCTTTTTTACCACTATTACAGCATTATTGACATATAGCTGTTAGCATAACTGTTTCATAAAATAAGTTTCAAGTAAATGGTCGCTACATCAATATAATAGAAACTACTCCACGGATTAACTAGGTATAGTTATTAATGATGAAGGTTTAGGTATATCATATGTTCAAGGTCCTGTATGAATTAGTTTGAGTATAACGATATTGCTACGACTGACAAAATGTAGGCATAATATGATCTATTGCCGGCGCGTATCACAAGTTTATTTTCTAAAAATGTGTAAAGAAATAATATTTCTTTTATATTGTTAATCTGTCATGTGTCATAACTGATGTTTTATTTAATTTTAAGATTCAGACTTTGTTAGTCTGTGGAAAGAGATGCGAGTTTTGTCTTGTCACAAAAAGTTTTTGTTAGAATATTTTCAGATTTTAATTGGGATTTTGATTAAAATAAGTTTGAAGGATTTTTATGGAATAACAAACTCTAAATGCTGTTTCTATAAATATTTCAGTCAAGCATTGGTGTTTCATTTGTCATATATGCAGTATAAAAAAGTTCGTATTTATTTTTAGGAAAATATATATATTTTGTTATTCCCAAAGTTATGGAATGATTTACGTGCACATATAATTAAAATTTCCAATAGATACCTTCTACGGCATCGTAGATGTGGTTAAAACGCCTAATAATGTTTTATGAGAAATATTAGTAGAAGAGTGCTCCGCGCCGTTACTTATATTTACGAGGTGAAAACTCGCACATTTGTGTTCCACCACTTTGAGATCCGCAATACATCGTGCATGTAATGGACAGTTCTGTAGTAAATTATTCTGTAATATATTGTGAAAATATAATTATCAATTATTATATTGTTATTGTTAGTAATTTATGAAAAAATATGTATTAAGTTTTCGAAAGGAATCAATTACTATCATATTTATAAGACTATTTTCTAAAATACTTATTTAAATTAGTAATGTAGTCCTTAGCGTTATCTACTGCGGCCCTTCAGGGAATTACTTAAAATTCCTTTAACTATGGAGTAATGTCGATATCCACTTGTGTGCTCGATTGTGTTATAAGAAAGACCCAGTCCAAGTGGTTTCAGCATGAATTACTGCGTTATCATATAAACAAGGATTTAGAGCTTCCGAATAAATTTAGCCGAGCCCCTGCCTCCTCCCCCTTCCCCTTTTCACTCCTCTGCTTATTCTACGTACAGTTTTGTTTTTATTATGGCACCGGAAAACTCGATTGTTTTTGATTCTGTATAATTATTTATTTTATTAGTGTTTATAGTTTTTGCGAGTACAACACATTTAAAAAACTTTGGGGGATAAATAGAAGTGAATAATCAACCTAATATACGTTTAATTAACGAGAAATATGCATAGGTAAATTTTTGAATAAAACAGTTTAATACTTATTTTGAAAATTATCAGCCGAACTAATTAAGTATTAAGAACTAATAAAGTTAATCGTCAAAAAGGTGTCCAAATCTAGTCTATAAACCACTGTTCTCTGCAATCATCGACAAAATATCTACAAATGATAACATGATATTATGTGCTCCTTTCAACAACGCAACGATTTATCAAAAAACAGTCTAGTTCAACAAGTTCTCGGGTATTTTAAATTACTTCTTAGAGTTGATATATTAGGTTTTATTCGAAATATTCTCAATATTCCTTTGAAAACTCCACTCTCCTGGGTTATAACAAAAACATGTGAGGCGCCATCGCACTGACTCTTCTCTTTTCGACTGCAAACTTCCGCATAATTAAATAGTGATTAGCGTTTACATCGCTTCACACTACTTGGTTTCAGGTACATTGCTACCTTTTTATTCTTATTATTTCTTGTGTACATAAAAACAAACCGACCGGCCACTTGTTTCTAATAAGCATGATTCATAGCAATCATAACGTAATAACTGTTTATGGTTTTTGAGCTCTTTTTTGTTTGTGTTTTGTTAAACATTCTCTTGAATAAACAAGGTACCTATCTGACACATATCGTGCATTTTTAAATCGTCTGTTTTCTCACGAAATCACCACAGCGATTGCGATTAAAAGCCTTCAGACACTTTTAAATGATTACCATCATATAAATATTTGCAATAATAAAAATGAACCAGTGTTTACCAACTTTATAACGTAGTCTTGTTCCGTCGAAATGACGGCTCATATCAACCCTCTCAGTTAATTAGCGACTGGCGAACTCCTCTCACCCCTTCATACCTTACTTACGTTTTCGTATAATTTGTTTAAAAAACGTACAGTTCTATAATTAAATAATCAATTATAAGCAATAATCTAATTAAATCTCTTGCCTAACATATATTTTAGTTTCTGCTTCAATAAATAATATCGTTGTACTTAATAACGTATAATGTAATTAATTCAGCACCTTACGAGGCTCCTTTCCTCTCCATATCCGGGTAGAGAACTCTTGACTTGAGAGCTATTCACAAAGGGCTCTTCATGGGTCCTCTCTCAAACTATTAACGTTGTTTAGACCGCGTTTAGCCGGTACGTCGATCTGAAGTTTAAGTTTTATTTACCTAACGAGTAGATAAAAATAGTATTTTCAACTGAGAGTAACAAACGTCAGTATAGTAAACAATATAAAATAAGGTGTGTATCGACGTTCAGCATCTTCTATAATACAATTTGTCGTGTCCTTCATTGACTACCCGGATCTCCTCAATCTAAGCTCTCAAGTTTAGTTTTCTGTCCCTAGACAGAGAACAAGACATACCTACTGCTCTTTTCTTGGGTAACTCATATAAAAATAAAAATATGTTTGTCAAGCTTATCTTATTCGATTCGAGGCATCAAGGCGAAAGTAGTACATTATCTGTTGTTATTTGAAAAAGTCTTTTATTAGCCCGGTACAGCGGGCATTAAAACGGATGACAACAGGTAAACGAGTAAATAGTAGATAAGTATCTTGTTAGAGACAAAGGAAGCTGCCAACAAAAGCAGCCAGTATCGTTGTTTTTCATCCTGCGAAGTGCGCAAAGGAGTTTGGTCGGTGCAAGAGAAGAGAGATTACGGGAAATTTACTGGAGATATATCGATTAATAGTTCCTTTTCTAAAAGATAAAATACTAAACAGGTATTATTTATAGCTCTTTGCTGTTGGCTAACTCAAGAGGCCATATTTACCCATAGGTCATATTGTAACAAAATAAAATTACAAAATTTATAACGTTTTACAGCTAGCCCAAAAAAGTAAAAGCTAAGCTATTAAGCTCTCGCTCACTCTTATACATTAGATCACGCAGACTTTGTTTACAAGTCTCCACAATAGGTGGCGCTGTCACGGACAGTAGCTGTTCTTTACAAGTTTAAACAATAATTCCGACGGTGCAGCTTTAATTGAAGTTCCGACTTGATATAACAGGGACACTGCACAGACTATAGCTTAATAGGACTACGTTTTAAGAATTCGTTTTGTCTAGATCTGGCGTTGATGTGAAAACAATTATTTAAAAGAACTTAAAGACTTTAGGAAAAAGTTCTGAATTTAAGTATAAGTACAATATGTTTCAATGAGAGGTAAAGTCATATTAAATTGACGTAATTCATTTATTTATGTAATTTTTAAATAATGTATTTCGAATCATTAACCTTATAGTACATCTAGCTAACGTGTCAAATGCCGATGATTAACACATGATAAACCTCTATCTAATTCTATCTGACGTACTATAAATACGTTGTTCATTGAACCGAGTATCGAGTCTAAAATTGTGCAGAACTAGGTCCGTTCTAGTTGAGCGGGAACTTTTGACAGGTCAGCTTTAGTCACGCTGAGATCAGACCCCTGCACGGACTTGGCACGAGAGGGATTTGAATGTCACACTCACTATAGCTTGCTCTCCAACTCTACCAATATCAAGAATTAACTTCAAAAGCATCAAACACAGTTCATTTTGTATTTTCTATTTTAATTAGAATTATTTTCAGAAATAGATAAACAGATTAATATTTTTGTACAGACAGAATCACTTTCAACTAATAACTTAGCATTACAATAAGTTTTGATGAAGGAAAACCCTTAGATGCTATCTGAGAGTAATACCCATGAAGGATTGTT